TGGAAGTCTGCAGCCTGAGGTTTATCTAGGTGGATGTTGAAGTCTCCAAGCATAACTAGGGGATTACCATCCTCAGGAAAGGTTGAGAGCAACACATCTTATTCATCCAAGAAGTTTCCTAGTGGTCCTGGGGGTCGATAAACAACTACAAAATTGATTTTAAGAGTGTAGGTAATAGTAACTGAATGAAATTCAAAGGAGCTTTTGATACCCAAAGATGGTAAAGGATTACATTTCCAATCATTAGAGATAAGCAGACCAGTACCTCCACCTCTTCCAGTCAACTGGGGGAAGTGGGAAAATTATAAATGATTGGAGAGTGCTGCAGGTGTAGCAGTGTCCTCTGGTTTGATCCAGGTCTCTGTCAGGGCCATGAGATTTAGCTTTGAATGACTAATAATAGAAGTAATGAAATCTGCTTTGTTTACAGCAGACTGGCAATTCCAGAGACCAATAGAAAAATAAAGTAGTGTATTAGCAGACAGGCAAAGTGTGTAGGTTGTTAGGATTGCACTGCCTACAGTGTGTGAAACGTGGTTTGCGAGTGGTGGCGATAGTAGGGTTCTGGAAACACATAGTATTTTAATGATGTTATTACATCATTAATTTCAGGGTTTGTACAACTTTTTGAGAGAGAAATCCAAGCACTTTTCAATGACTTTCAAGTATTCCACACAATTATTTCCAGCACTTTAAAGCTCTAAAAATTATCCAGTTTAAATGTCATTTTTAATGGGACAAAACACAATGTATATCAAAATGTGTTTTTTTTTGCTAAACAAACACTTATGTAAAATAAAATAATAAAAATACATCAAATTACCCCTATAACCAGTAGATGGCAGCAGAGTAGCACTTATTGGCTTATTTGTCATTCATTTCTACTTGCTTTATATTTTGAAATTATAAAATAACTATTTTGAAACATCAAATCATCAAGAAATCAAAGGTTTGCACTGTTTGTGTATGTAGTAAGAAAAGTCACAAAACACTAAACTTTTCTTCACTTTGTGATTGAATCGCACATCAATTAAAATCACTGAAGTTGTCAGTCAGTTATAAATAATACTATAGAAGAATAATGGTACATTTAGTAAGTGTAGAATATATTGATAAATAGATTTTGCACATTACTGATGTTAGTAAAGTACATTTTGCATGCTTCCCATCTCAAGCTCAGTGCTTTACTGTCAAACGTGTATTACAAAGAAATAAGCATGTAATATTATTAGTAAATGCTCTTATTAATGCAAAACAGTAGTAATTTTATGATTTAATTATCTTTATTTTTGTTACCCCAAACACCAGCCCCAGTGCTACCAAACCTGCTTTTGGTGCCACCATCTGTAGAACTTATGGCGCTTTTCCACTGCGTGGTACGACTCTGCTCGGCACGGCTCAGTACAGCACGGCTCAGCTCGGCTCGCGTTTCCACTGCAGTTTAGTACCGCTTTAGAGTGGGGGGGATTATTCACATGTAATTATAGTTGCGCTGCCTCTACTGCTGCGACTCCTGAAAAACTTTTTCATTCCGCGTCGCCCCATCAAGCTCTCGCTGGATCCACTCCTCTGCTATCAACGAGAGGAACATCTGTACTTCCTCAACAGACCACGAAACAGACATTTTTTAGTTGTTAAAAAAAGGTGCGCTTGTTCAAAACGGTTGCATTCGATCCTTCGCTGGCTGTGCTGATTTAAATCTAGCGGTTCTAACCCTAACCCAGTGGAAAACCCCACAAAAGTGAACCGTACCGTGCTATTCCAATGCAGTGGAAAAGCGCCATTAGTGGTGCTGGTGCCACTGCTAACAAATGTTAGTCTGGAGCCCTGCACTGTTACATTAGGGTTCACTTTTATGTTCACATTTCTTAGCTTTTAACAAGTTACTGAAAATGAACCATTTTTACTTTTATTTCAGAGTTCATTGAAGAAAAAGAGGAGAATGAAGAATCAAGTGAAATTGAGGAGAAAAATCATGTCAAAACTGGAGAAAGACCTTTGAGTTGCTCTCAGACCAAACAGAAAGATTTAAAGAAAAGAAGAGCCAAGACATCTTTCACCTGCACTCAGTGTGGAAAGTGTTTGACGAGCAAAACAGGTCTTGAGCGTCACATGAGAGCTCATACTGGAGAGAAACCGTTCACTTGTGATCAATGCGGGAAGAGTTTCTCACAATCAGCAAACCTTAAGGTACACATGAACATCCACACTGGAGAGAAACCGTACACATGTGATCAGTGTGGTGAAATGTTTTTATGGGCTTCAGGTCTGAAGAAACACTTGAAAGTTCATACAAAGGAGAAGCCACATTCATGTAAGTTGTGTGGTAACAGTTTTTTGCATCCACAAAATTTGAAAGTATATCAGAAAATACATACTGGTGTGAGAGAATACATGTGCTTTGAGTGTGAAAAGACTTTTACTACAGCAAACTGTTTAAAACGAGGTCTTAAGGGTTTGGAACGACATGAGGGTGAGTAATTAATGACAGAATTTTCATTTTTGGGTGAACTATGCCTAATGTCTTCATAAGATTGGCCAATACATATGAAAATGTAATTTTCACAAGCATCTGTTTTTACAACCAGGTAGTAAAGTAACTATTCACTGGAGTCAGTTTAAGTAATGTCTTCACTAGATTGCAGGAGGGCTTGGACACATCGGGGGTGCTACAGGCACTTCAGCGAGACACAGTGCCCTATTCAGCTTGTTTGTTGGAAGTCCCCCTGCCCCGTTGACTGCACAGAAAATAACTGATCTCTTTAAGGTCAATTATTCAGAGAGAGGCACCTCTCGGTGGTTGCAGGAGGAGCGTGTGGTTGGCCAGTGGAGAGACTGGCTGATCGACATAGAGGGTATACACAGTTTAAGTACAATTGAAAAATGCCAAACACAAACAATGTGTTACATAGTAATGTTAAATATAGTGATCCACTTCACAAATGAACACACTGTCTGCAAGTACTTACATCAACATTGTCACGTGGGTGTACATACTGAACAACATAATAGTTCTCACAAATTCATTATAATTTGCCACATCCTGGTCTGCTGTGGGCCTTTTCTCACAGTACAGATTATTCTGTTGGCTTCCTTTTGTTATGAACAACATAAAGAAAAAATGAATACTTTGTACTAGAAGTGTAAATCTTGGATTGCCTCATGATTCTATTCAATAAAACACTCATTATTGCAGCTGAAAAGTGGTCACTTCAAAAGCAATAATTCTATCTTTAATGTTATTTGATGAACATTAATGACAGACAGCAGCTTATGACCATATACACAGATCTAATGTAATGTTACACATCAAATGTTTTTCCTCAAATGTTTGCACAATACATAACCAACTATGTTTGCGTTAATACTCACCAAGATAGGTTTTTTGAAATACTGGAATTCTGTGTGTACTGACCACTCAAGCGCAACCTCAATTTGTGATCGTGCATTGTCTAAGAGGCGTTATTTTATAGTAAATTATATGTTCAGTTTTATTAAATCTGGAGGACGTTAACTGTGGAAGGATGATTGATAGGCCACTATACGGTGACAAGATGCTCGTAACTAAGTGACATGGCTTTCATAAAATACACAATTTTAATGACATGACAGTATGTCCCAAAGCCATTCTACTGTTTTGCGTCACGCTTAAATGTATGCACTTTTTCTTCACAAAAAGATTACATACTTTTAGGGCTGGGTATAAGTAGGCGAACTGGGACACACCAACCATTTCACTCAGATATACATTACAAAAGTCATAGCTTTCATTTAATGCAGACTTTATATATTTAAATTTCTTAATTCCCCCTCCCTTTTACATTTCAGGCAGAGATGCTGTGCTGACAGTGGAAGACACGGACATCAAAGTTACATTTGGCAATCTTTTAATGTTTGCCACTGACACAGACCGGATTCCAGCTCTGGGATTTGATCCAGAATCTACACTCGAATTTCTACACATTCCAGTAAATGGATCACTATGAATTTGTCCAGAGGCTAACACATGTGGTTTAGTTCTGAGGCTTTCACTGCATGCCTCATATGAAAGCTTTAATGAGAGCATGATTTTAGGCATTGTTCAGTCCCCACATTTTGGACTAGCCTAGTATTATTATTAATGTTGATTCCTTTCTTTTTCTTTTTTCATTCTTAATCTTGTATTTTTGTTAATGTTGAAATATTAAACAATGTTTAACAACATTGAGTGTCTATTTTGCATTTTTGTTCATGTCTTCATAGTAAACGTTTGTAACTCAAAATAAAATAAATATTAGTAAATTATAATAAATATAACATAATAAATTAAAAATAATACTTTACAGTTTACAAAAAAAAATACTTTACAGTTTACAAATAAATACATTCAATTTATTAGGTGCCTATGGGAAATGTGAATAAAAATATGTATAAATACATAATATTAAATAAAAATATGCCCGTAAGGATAACTACATCACTGTCATGCTAATGCCTGCATACAGACCGCTCGTTAAAGTCGCCAAACCAGTTCACAAACAAATACAAGTGTGGCCGGATGGGTTGTCAGAGGCTCTTCAAGACTGTTTTAACACCACTGACTGGAATATGTTTAAGCAGGCTGCCACATACAATAACACCACAGACCTCCAGGAGTACTCAGAGACTGTCACTGCCTACATCACCAAGTGCATTGATGATGTAACGGACACAAAGACCATCCCTGTCCGCGCCAACCAGAAGCTGTGGCTAACAGGGGAGGTCTACAGACTCCTGAAGACGTGGAACACTGCCTTCAGAGCTGGAGATGAGGTGGGCCTGAAGACAGCTAGGGCCAATCTATCCCGCAGCATCAGAGAGGCTAAGAGACAGTACTCCAGGAGTATAGCACATAGTTTCAGCGACAGCAGAGACACTCGGAACCTGTGGCAGGGGATACAGACCATTACGGACTACAAGCCCCCACCACGCACCTGTGACAGCACCATCTCCCTGCTGAAAGAGCTGAACGTCTTCTTCGCTCGCTTTGAGGCACAAAACA